TAATTTAATTAAGTAATTAATAAATTTTAAATTAATTTTTATTTTTAATATAAATTAATAGTAAAAAAAATAAATATACAATTAATTTATATTCTTAGAATACGAAAACATGTTAAAAAATTCTAAATATTAATAACGTTCATATCACTAGGTTATACTTAATTGTTGCCTTGACGTTGGGTTCCTTCTATCTTCCAATTTCAAAAATGTTTTCTTGTTTTCATCTTTCCATCTTTATAGAACCACAGAGAATCCTCATTATTCTTTTTTTTTCCCCCAATAACAAAATGCAGAGCTAATTACTGAAAGAATCTTGTAGTCTTATATGATTCCTCAACAAGCACTGCACAACTTTTGTAAAGGAGGCTTCCTAAAATGTTAACTAGTCCTACAGAACATCCATTGACTGAATACAGAACAATTCTGATCGCAAAGATGGAAATCCTTTACTTTGAACAGTGCAAAGCAAGTTCAAGCAGTAGTTCCTGCCGTTGCCTCTTATGCAATCAAATAGATAAGCTTACCCGGCCTGGTACTACATTGATAAATAATGAACTAACTACACATGCTTCAGAAAGTTTATACTTATACAGTCTTACGTGCCCCATGTCTTGGTTGTAGACTTGTAATGTTAAGATACAACACTTTCACTTTGGTCAAAAAAAAAAAAAATTCTCATTGTACAATCATGTAACCTACCTATCCCTATACCAGAAGATTCGACTCCGTAGCACTACTGGCCAAAACATGCTTGCCATATAATTTTGAGATATCCCAAAACAGATTGCTGGTCTGTGATTTCTGAAATTCGAGAAAGGACTACCTGCTTCAAATAATTCTCAAACATTAATCAAGTGGGGATCGATCAAAAACATAAAATATATCTAGTGGGGATGATCATGGGGGAAAATGCTCTGCATCCATTGAAGGAAATCCAGATCGATCCATTCTCATTCCTTGAAGCAGACTCTTTGCTGTTTCTCTCTCCTGCAGTCATGGATAGAGCATTAAAAAATTAGTAACTCATTTCAATATTTGGATGCATCAGAGAATTTGTAAATGCAGTAATTTTGAGCTATATACAAAAGAGAAAAGTAATAAAACTCACTGGGCCAGTATAATCCAGAAGGCGAGTGCAGTACACCTCTGACTCTTCGAATCTGTTGTGGGCTTTGTAGTGTTGAGCAAGAAACATCAGAGCTTCAACCATGTTAGGTCCTTCTCTATCTTCAGCTTCCATCCTCTCTAAGTCTTTTTTGTAGTAGAATGCTGCCTCATCAGAACGACCAAGTTCTTTATGCAACTTTGCTAGTTGATGTAGGGCAATTGCTTCCCTGTCATTAGAGCTTGCCGCTCTTCTGTAACACTTGATTGCTTCCTCAACCATGTGCAGTTGTTCAGTTTCATAACATTGAGCCATGGCTATCCACAACCGAGAATCATTTGGTTGCAAGAAAACAGATTTTCGAAAATAGTGTAGAGCATAGAATGGCATGCCCATCATCTCAGATGTTTGTCCTAATCCATACCATGCACGATAATCACGAGGACTGATGTCTACAGCACGACGATAGGCATCAACTGCAGCTGGAATGTTTTTCATCTCAACATACTCATGACCCATAAGAGTCCAGGCAGATAAATAATTTTTGTTTAATTTGAGTGCTCTCTTAAAATACATAACTGACTTCTCATGTTGTCCTTTCTAACTGTAATAGTTCCCAATAATGCAGCAAGTTTCCAGCCTGTACTTATCAGTCAAGATAACCCTGTGAGCAAGATAGCTCAAGGCAGAGAAACATTCCTTCGTGTAGAGCACATTGGAATATCCATCCATGTCTTCCACTCGAAAGGGGTCAATCCTTAAAAGCTCTTCAAATATCACTTCAACTTGTTCAAATTCCCGTAGACTGTACTGAACTTTTGCAATTTGAGCCTGTATATAATTACTAAAACCAAAAATGCCCTGTAAGTGTTCATATTTTGCTAATGACTCATTATGCATCCTGAGCTCTTGATAAACACTGGCAAGAAAGAACTCCTTCATCCAGTGATTATTGAGATTAAGGCTGTTCAGGATATCTATAGTAGTGCATAAAGCCTGCAACTCCAACCAGGCACTCCAATTCCAAGGGTAACTGTTCACAGAATTCACAAGAACTGTACGAGCAAGATTTTCATTGCCTTTCTCCTTAAGGACAAGTCCATACAAGTACAACCCAAAGGAATCAAGCATTCCATTCTTGTGCAGCACAGATAACTCCCTCTCCAGAGAAACCAGTTCACGTTTGACAGCGTAGCTCTTACCTAAGGGACCCTCAAGTTCTATCATCTCTTCTTCTTTCCGCTTTTCTCCAGCCTACATTATGCAATGAAAGTGTAAAAAATAGATATTGTAAATTGTAGCAAAAGCTTTATTACACTATCTAATCTTTACATCAGGTAGACATCCTCTAGGAAGTAACCTTTTAGATTGAATGCAACCAATAAATGTTTGAAATTTTCAGTAAGCAAGCAGAAACAAGCATGACAAATCACCATCAACTAGAATACTTCTGATGGACCAAAGCTATATCTAAGTTTAGGAGTCCCCAAATTGCTCATTTGTTGCGTAAATTTGTGATTGAACTTATAGAATGCAAGCATGGAATTAGGACCACATAAAGAACAAATGACTCTCTCTCTCTGTGCCTGATAAAGAAAATGAATCATATAAAGCACAAAAACTAAAAACTTTTCTCAATATGGCTTTAATTTGAGTTTAGAAAAGTACACTATTAAAGACATCATTTTCCCCTTACCTTGCATCACGGTAATTCTCTATCTTCTTTTTGCACTACCGGATGTGGACTGTGACAATCTTCTTCATTTATCAACAACTAAACACTGCAGAAGACTTTCCACTATAACAAGATGCACTATGTAATATTTCACCAGACTTGTAAAATAATGTCTTTCTTTCAAACAGATATAATTCCAATTTTCTTCTCAATTAATATATCCAGAGAAGTACAATCTGCCCAAGCTAAAGAACCATAAGAAACTCCATCCCATAAACATAGCTATCATGTGACATAACTATCAAAAATAATAAGCATATAGTACACAACGAAAACGTATATGATAGGGAAGTATAAGTTTAACTAACCAGATAAAGAGCATAACAGCGCAGGAAGACAGATTTCTTCCCAGTTTGCTCGCGAAGGACATGAGCAGCCCTTCTATACTCTCGGCAATCAAAGTATGATTTTGCCAGAAGGTAGAAATCACCATTCACCGCCTCATCCTCTTCCATTACTGGAGTGGATACATAAGACACACCGGTTACCGGTGTGGAAGTCAATTCATTGGTGCGGAATCTTCTCCGGATGCTCGAACTTCCACGCTGGAACCTTGTGTTTGAGGGTGTGAACTTTGCTGGGTCATGCTCGATCCCCACAAGTTGCTCTGCTGCCCTGTACATAAAAACCCATTAAAATTCAACACCTACAAAACCTACCAGAGATCAAACATATTCTTCTATAAACAAAAGGAACAACATTGCTGAAATTTCAATGATAATTCTGTCAATCTTACGCCTCATTAAGCAAATAAAGCATAAAGAATGGAACTTTATCACTTCTTACGCAGACGGGCGCAAAAGGGTTAAAATTTAATACATTTTTAGCAGCATCTTTTAAATGTATTTGGGTGTAATCAAGGGGAGAGAAATTGGGGATTTAGGGTTTATAGAAAGGTAGTACCATTTGGAAGTGGAGTAAAGGCAGCGATCGCTGAGTTGAAGGACGGCAGTTCGGAGTTCGTTTCCACAATTCTCTTTGGAATTCATGGATTCCTTTCCTCGATCAACCTGCTGATACTCAAGGTCCTCCTCTTTTGAACATCACTCCCTCTGGAATTCAATTTTTTTGGTTAAAATACCATTTTGGTCCCCCAAGTTTCCATTTTAATGCCAAAATTGTTTTTAAACTTTAAAAAATATCAAAATTATCCTTAAATTTTAATTTTTGGAACTAAAATGATTTTTTCCATCAATTAAATGGATAGGTGGCATGTTAACTTATTAGCAAATCAATTCTTTTTTTTTTTTCATGTCATTAATTAAGGACCAAAATACAGAAAAAAAAATGGTTGGCTATCTTTTTTTTTTTTTTTATGAGTTGACATTTTTATTTAATTTAAAAATAAGAACATCCCTTTTTTTTCATCCACATCAGAAAAAAAGGCAAAACCCTTCTTAAGCCCCTCAACTTTTTCGACAGCAAGTGATAGGCCCCTGAACTAAAAATGATGCAAATAAGCCCTCCAACTCCCCATGTGAAGTAAATCAACCCCTCTGTTAACTGAGCCCTTCAATGTCGTTTGTTTATTGGCTTGCGTGGCAGTTAATATCCATGTGGCATCCAATGTGTCATTTAATATCCACATGGCATCCAATGTGTCATTTGTTTAGGAATTAAAGGAAGAAAGATTTGGGATTTTAGGGATTTCAGTTTGGGTTCTCAAATCTCTCTTCAATGTCCTCTAATTCCTCAAACCTCTCTGGAATCGATTTCTCTTATTCAAAGGATCCTCTCTTGAATCAACCTTTTGTTTTCTGATTCTCTTAACTTGAATCCATCCTTCTTAAGTTAGAGGGGATCGATTGAGAAAGGCAAAAACTAGAGGGCAAATCCCAAAATCAATATTTGAGATGCCCCAATCGATTTTGGGAATTTAAGGTTTTCAAGTTTAGTTCTCCACCACCTTTTGCTCAATTCTTCAATGTCCTTTGATTCTCAGAACCTCTCATCAAATCAATCTCTTTTGATTCTTTTTCTCAATCCCTAAGATGCCTCGATCTCAAACTTCATAATCATAAGTCCAATCTTCCACCTCTACACCAAAGCTCTGCACCTAAAAACTCATTTGGAAGTTGCTTGGTAAGGATAGGGTTCTTTAAACCAGAAAACAGAAATGAAGGTAGGACACAATATTGCAAATGTGGTGTTGTTTCTCCAAGAATCACGACATGGACTGAATCAAATGTAGGAAAGAGGTTTTATGGTTGTCGTTATTATGGGGTGAGTTAAGGGAAATTTTCATGCTTTAGGTTTATGGCGTTGGGTTGGGTTGTTTTAGTTTAATTGAGTTTAGGCATTGGATTTTTCATAGTTCAGGGAAATTTTCACATTTTCAAGGTTGTTGATATTTTGGATTGAATCTTTTTTTTTTTTCTTTCTCTCTCTATTTCCAGCAAGAGGAAGCAGAAGCTTGTAATCCATTTGAGTGGCATGATGCTCAAATTGTTGGAAGAGCACATGATGTTATTTGGCACATAAAATTGGAATATGAAAGTTTGTATTCTAAATTTGAAGAGCTTAAACCCAATGCCAACATGGTGGAGATGATGGCATTGCCAAAGCTATTGACAAGCTGACTGTGAAGGTGAGAGCTATTGAGTCTGAAATTAGAGCTATTAAGTCTGACATTAGAGAGATGAAGTCCATAGTAGATTCAGCATGTGAGAATGTGTGTTTTGCTGTGCAGAGGTCATTTGAGGAGCAAATGAATAAGTTTCAAAGGAATGTCTTTATTGTGATTGTTGGGTTGATGGTTACGTTGTTGTTTTTGTTTGGTAAAGTGTAAATTGGCAATGACTGCAAGAAGATGGCATTTAACATGGTTGTTTTTTACCTTTTTTTTGGCCAACTAGAAAATGGTTGTACTATTTGAGGGCCTTTTTTTGTATATATCAGATAATGCCATTAATTCTACCTAATGTATATGTTCAAGTTTAAAGGAATAGAAATATAACTTTCTTATAAGTTTACTTCCATATTCTACTTATTTGGTAACCAAAAAAAAAAAAGAGTTCTACTCAAATTCCAGATTCTACTGCTTTGCTAACAAAAAAATTACAAGTTTCACTAGTATGAATAAACATAATGACTTAAATACCAAATTCTACTACTTTGCAACCAAAAACATTACAAGTTTCACTGGTATGAGCAAACACAATGACTAATACCAAATTCTATTGTTTTGCTAACAAACTAAATATATATATATTAACTGGCATAAATACCAGACATAAATATACAAGTTTAACTGGTATAGTGGCTTAAATACCAAAGTCTATTACTTTATTAACAAAAAAAAAAAAAAAAGTTTCATTGACATAAACCATACATAATTACTTAAATACCAAAGTCAAATGCTTTGCTAACCTAAAAACATATAAGTTTTGATAGAGACTACCTTTATGCCCTCTGCATCTAAGACACTAAAAAGTCAACCAAGTTTTTTAGTTTTCACATAATAATACATAACAAAATACAAAACATTGATAATTCTAATATGTTTCTACTTAAAAGGCAGTCCAAAAGTTGTCTTCATTGCTTAGATTCATGTCATCCCCTAAAGGAGGTACAACAAATATGTTTCTTGAGTGTCCAAAGGGCATTGCACTTGAAGTTGTTGTTGGAATTGCATTAGTAGAAACAACTATTGAGTTAACTAGCTAATGAGAAACCATTGAGGCAACTACATTTCTTTCTGACCTAATCCTTAGCGGTAGGCATTCTAGGCTATGAATCAAAAGTTTTCAAGAAATGAAATAAAATTTTGCAACCAAAATGAGTTTAATAGAAGAATACATTAAAAATTTAATGTAGCTTACTTACATTTGTGATGGGGGTGCTGTTAACTGAATTAATAGTTGATAATTGTGAGATGTTAAGGGTTATAGTTGATGGTCCCACATTAGTCCTTGTCTTTTGTGTCTTTTTTGCCTTACCCTATAATCACCAATCTATTATAAGCAAACAATCATGGAAAATTTAAAATCTATAAGTAATTTAATAATAAAACAAAATGGATTATAGTTTGTTTCTTCCTATGGTATGGAGCAGATGGATGCCTTTTCCTTGTTTGACTTAAGGATGCAATAGAAGAAGTGGTCTACATAAACATGTAGAAAAATAGCTAAATGAGTAATAAGCAAAATTAGCTAGTAAATAGCTAAATGAGCAATAAGCAAACAAACAAATATGCATAAAAAATAAACATGCAAAAAAAAATCTAGCTTTTAGTGGTAATAACAAGACAGGATTAGCTACTAAAAATGTTAAATGAGTAACAAGCAAACAAACAAATATGCAAAAAAATCAAACCTGGTTAGTGGTAACAAAAAGGCATCCTACTTTGTTATGCCCTTGTTGTTTACAGTAGGAGCAAGTCATAATCCTTCCTCTCTTAAACATTTTAGATTTAGATGGTTTTTTTTGGCTCATCTTTGCCTTTGTAATGTTCTTCTTAAGGCTTCTAGGCCTAGTTCTAATTGGAGGAGGATTAATGGGATCTCCATTGAATTTTTTCCAAGACTTTCACCACACATTGCCTTAATATAGAAATTATATGATTGTTGATATTTACCCTTCCTATGCCAGTTAGCCGCAAAATCTTTAGGATCTAGATTCTCATGAAACATGCAACGAATAGCATGTGGGCAAGGACTTTCGTTCAGCTGCCATGCTTTACATGTAGAAGTTCTCTTTTGCATATCTACAACATGTCTATCATTCTTATGTTTAACTTCAAATCTAGAGGTTCCATCCCAAAGCAATCTACATTTAGAGGATTCATTTTTATTGTTCCCTAACTTACTCTTCACCCTAAGAGCAATGTCCCATTTCCATTTATGAGAGGATGACATCTTCTCAGCAATCCTTTCCATCAATTTTTCCCTCATAGTGTCAACTAAATTGATAATGGCATTATACCTTGCTTTTATAATCCAAAAATTAAAACACTCACACATGTTATTGTCCACAACATCATAGCATGTATCCTTATAAAAAAAAAAAATCCTTGCACCAGTACATTGAAAAGATTCTTGCTAAATCTGTCCATGCTTGCTCTAAGATTTTCTTTAGTTCATTCACTTGGTACACAAACTCGCCTTCCCAAGTAGTTCTTGCAATAACCCAGAACCTTTTTTTATATTCTTCACCCCTATAAATATTAGCCTAGTTAGCACATATGTGTCTTGCACAATATTTATGACATGCATTTGGAAAAACTGACTCTCTTGCTACTATAATGCCCTACAAAGTAAAACAATTTCATTATTATTAATATAAAATAAATATCATATATTATAATTTTTTAACAAACTTTAATTAATGCATATTACCTTGTGCATGTCTGAAATAATTATCAAACTTGCTCCGTCTCCACAGTCAATGTTTATCTTCAATAATTCCATAAACCACTCCCAATTTTCCCTATTCTTGGTGTCAACAATTGCCCATGCTAATGGGAACGTTTGATTGTTCCCATCTTTCCCAACTACTGTTAACAATATACCTTTACAAACACCTTTCAAAAAACAACCATCTACACCAATAAGGCACTTGCAACCAGCTTTCCAGCCCCTTTTACATCCATTACAACACCTGCACATGGCTCATGGTTGATTAAGTACTGAGCAATGGCTACCTTAAATTGCACTGCATTTTCAAACACCATTCCAACCTCAAAATGTGGAGAATCAAACGTTGGGTCATAATGCAATCTCTTAGATGGTCTCCTCAACGCATCATCCTTCACACTAGAGTCATCAATGGAGCTATCATTGTAGTAGCTACCGGGATTAGAACTGTGAAAATAGGTACTGCTATTACACAAACTATTGGTCTCGTCATCTTTAAAGTTTGAGTTTTCAACAAGTCTAGGGCCATTTTCATCATCACTATTAGGTTCTCTAATTCTAATACCCTTAGAACTAGATGTTGACTCTACAAATTTGTTCTTTGTTTTATGCTTTTCCTCCACCACCTTTTGCTTTCCTTTATCTTTTCTTTGCATTCCATACAAATTGCTAGGACCCTCATTTACACCTATCCTCCCAGCATGTTTATTAATACCAAACAACAATTCTTCATCATTAGCATCACTACCTAATGCATCCTCATCTACCATTGTAGTTCTAGCACCATTTCCACTAGAAAACTTAACACTTCTAACACCTAAATATTCATCAACATTTTCATTAGCAACAGCAAGACAATGCTCAACAAAAACATGGCATACAATTGATTAGATTAATATTTTAGCTACCTCAATTATTTTAGCATCACCTTTCAAAGAATTCAACCCATGTACCATAGA